CATAGCTTTTTTTCCTGGCTATTCTAACAGGCTTACTTTTGCATATGAACTGCAGCATCAGCTTGTTGGACTTCATAAAATAGCTGTAGGTATTTTTATTAAAATTACACTGAATTTATAAACTAGAGAGGAAATCTGTAGTTCTGAGTCAGAATATTTAAGAACATATAATCATTTTTTCATGTCTACTATATATATATATATATTTTTTTGGTGCCAGGGATCAAACTCGGGTCCTTGCACTTGTGCAGCAGGCGGTGAAACCACTGAGCTAAATCCCCGGCCAGTCTACATTTTTTGATAGTATCTGAAAAATTTTTGACTAGTAGGTTTCACACATTTCTTGTTAAAATTTCACAAGTATTTGCTTATGTTGCTACCATAAATGAGGTTTTCCCTAACATTATATCCTTTAATCATTCATTATTGGTCTACATATGATTTTTTATGTTTATTTTGTATCCTGTTTTTTTTTCTTTTTATATTACTGATTGTCTGGGGGTTTCCAGACATATCATACCATCTCCAATCTAAATTTTACTTCTGTTCATTTTTTGTTGTTGTTGTTGTTGAGACAGGGTCTTACTATGTAGTTCAGGCTGGCCTTCAACTCACTGTGTAGTCCAGGCTGGCCTCGAACTCATGGCAATCCTCCTGCCTCAGCCTCCCTAGTGCTGGGACTACAGGTGTGTGCCACCACACCCAGCTGTTCATTCATTCTTAAGACTCTAATTGATTTCTCATGTCTAACTGCATTAACTAATATCTCAAACATAATGTTTAACAACAGTAGAAATAATGGACATCATTTTTTAGTTCATCATCTTAAGTAGAAATGCCTCTAATGTTTTTCTATGAAACAAGATACTGGCTTTGGACTAAGATATACACATTTCAAGTAATATTCTTTCCTTTTCCATTCATTCATTCATTTCAAATTTCTGGGCTCATGCAATTCTCACCCTCCCTAGTAGCTGGGACTATGGCTGTGTATCTATACATTCAGCTGTGTTCTTAATTTTTGAATTTTTTTTGGTACTGGGTATCGAACACGGGACCTTGTGCTTAGAAGGCAGGCGGCAGAATCACTGAGCTAAATCCCCAGCCCTATGTTTTTAATTTTTGAAAGCTGGCTCTTTCTTTTCTTTTTCTTTCTGAGACAAGGTCTCACTATGTAGTTCAGGCTGGTCTGGAAGTCATTATGTAGCCTAGGCTGGCCTCGAACCTGCAGCAATCCTCCTGCCTCAGCCTCTTAAGTGCTGGGACTACAGGTGTGTGCCACCAAGCCTGGCCTGTGGGTCTTTCTTAACACAAAATGTATACATCATGCCAAAAGCCAAGGATTCCCCAAATTACTAAATATTTCTTTAGAATTAAGAATTAAGTCTACTGAAGCAAACAGGAGACATTAATATTAGAAAGGAAGAAGCATCACCATTTGCAGATGATGTAATAGATGTCTGAAATACTCAAAAGAATGAAATAAAACTCATATAAAGAATGAAATAATTCAGTAAGGTACTAAATACCACGTGAGCTTTACTTGAAATGTACATCTGGATTTTCTTAGGACTGGCCTCATGAATAGGTAACACCTAGGTGAGATGTGCTCTATTTTACAGAATGTTGGTCCAGAAACTTTCAATTACCTTGTTAGTATCTGAAAATACTCAGGTTTTGAAGACTGGTTAACATTAACTAAATTCAAAGGAGGGAACGGGAAAACTATAATCAGTTAATTTTCAAAGAAAATCATAAATGTAAAAAATGTGTATATTTGGTATATGTGCTGCTGAAGTGAGCACAAAAATGTATATATTTAAATTTTAAATTCTGGTATGCATTCCTATAGCCTCATATGAACTGACCACAAGAGTAAATATATTCTTCCTATTTTGTGATTATCTTTGATTAGTATGAATAGCTAAGTATAAACAAACTATTGTTAATAAACCATTATGATATAGCAGAGCATGTTTTTATAGGTTTTTTTTTTTGAGGGGGGTAGGTTGACACAGGGCCTCGCTCTGTAGTTCAGGCTGCCCTTGAACTCACTATGTAGCCCAGGCTTGCCTCAAACCCACCGCAATACTCCTGCCTCAGCCTCTCAAGTGCTGGGGTTATAGGCATATGCTGCCATACCTGGCTGAGCAGAACATGTTTTGACAGTTAATACTGTAGTTCCTTTCAGAGAAATTTATGGCAGTAAATCTGTTCTAATAATTGTAGTTTTTAATATAGAAAGTGACTGTTTATTCAAATAATATGTTTCATATTTTCTTCATAACAAATTAAAATACTGACGTTAATAATCTTTTAGTTTACTGTTCTATCATACCATATTTCACATCATTTCTATTTGGAAACAAAACTAGTAAGTTACTGCTAATCCTACAGTTTTGCTGCATAAAGTCTCCTCAGCCCCAAAATTTGCAGTACAAACTAAGTGGTGGTTGCTAACTAATATTAATCTACATTGTTAAAACAGGAGTAAGACAACCTCTGAAGAAAAAATGGTATGGTAACTTGCTATGGAATGTTTCTGAAAAGCTCGTAATGCTTGTTTTAGTGATTTCATGGATGTGTTCACTTTGTGATAATTCACACTTAAGATTTGCTCACTCTTCTGTGTAAACTATACTTCAATCAAGACAACTTTTTAAAAAGTTACGAAGAAAATCAAAAACTAAAAACAAACCACACAAACAGATACACAATAAAAACAAACCACACAAACAGAATTTTTTTTTTTTTGGTACCAGTGATCGAACTCAGGACCTTGCACTTGCCAGGCAGGCTCGATGCTACTGAGCTAAATCCCCGGCCCCAAACAGATCTTTTATATCTCCCATAAAATATAATTTTTTTTGGAGCCATACTGTATTATATTTGGGAATTTTATTGTTAAAACAAAATCTAAACTTTAAACCTTAGAACCATTCAACTTGGTGAGCTACTCATTATTTCAAGTTTTTTCCAGTATGTTCAAGAACAGGAGACTCAATTACTCTATATAAGCTATCATATTTGTTTTCTCTCTTTTTCATTCTCATTTTCTTGTTCTTGGTTGGATCTTGACCTTTACAGTTTAATGATCTTACTGAGTTTAATATGGATATAATACAACTAAACTTTACAAATTGGAGTATAAGAAGGGAACAGTTCTACCTTACAAAGTGGCATCATCTCCATCCAGGTGTTAAAAGAATGTCAACCTACTAAAAAGAACTTAAATTCCCCAAATTGAACTTAGCTTTAGCCAGCCCTAAGACTTACTTCCACACCTAATTTCTCTATAGCAGCAAAATTCTTCCAAGTGCACACCTCAGAAACACTATTGGCTTGATTCTCTGTAGCATCTAGCGCGGTACATATGATACAATGTTCTACCTCCGGGTACTCTTTCTACCCTTGTGCTTTCAATTCCCACTGCTATAATGACCCTCCGAATGCCCTGCTTGAATTACCACAAAAATCTCTACTTATTCCCAGCTCTTCCCCATTCCAATTAATCTTTACTGTGACCAGATTAACTGTCCTGAAGGTCACTGTTCATGGCCCAAATGTTGAAAAAATATTCAATGACCTTGCCTTTTGAATGAAACCCAAGCCTGGCTTTAAATGTCTACACAGAATTCTATAAACAACCACTAAATAAGCTCCTGCCCTTTTACCTTTTCTTTGCCAGCCAAACTTCTTTTTTTTTTTGGTACCAGGGATCGAACTTGAGACCTTGTGCTTTCAAGGCAGGCAGCGGAACCACTGAGCTAAATCCCCAGCCCATCATCAAAATTCTTAACCACTGAGGGTTACTATAATCATGAACAAGCAACCCCACAACATAAAAAAAAAAGAGAAAAGATTCAACTCAGCATAATTTCTCAACAAAGAATAAACCAAATATGATTGTCATTCAAGACAAAAGTTTTTTTTTAAAGTTCTAGGGCTGGGGATTTAGCTCAGTGGTTCTGTCCTCTGCCTCACAAGCACAAGGTTCCAAGTTCAATCCCCAGTACCAAAAAAAAAAAAAAAAAAAAAAAAAAGTTCTACAATCCATCCACAGTTGACAATCATTGAGTTACAGGCACACTGGAAATGTTATGCCTTTGAATGTAAATTTAAATCTACTTATTAAATTCTAAAGACTGCAAGAACTAGAGGAAATACTATTGTTATATTGGATAAGATTCCAAGCCTCTGCCCAAACTGATTCTTATTTTCCTTACTAAAGCACACCAAGACACATTTTCATGTAAAGGAAAACACAAACAGCATGGCTATTATCTCTGACCAGCTTTTTTTTTTTTTTTTTGGTACCAGGGATTGAACTCAGGACCTTGCACTTGCGAGGCAGGCAGCAGCACCACTGAGCTAAATCCCAGGCCCTGACTAGCTTTTTTTTTTTGCTAAGGCAGGCAGCAGCACCATGACTAGCTATTTGTAATGAGAGACTTATATAATATAAAAGGTTGATGTCCTCTTATCAAATAATAATTAATATTTTTCTCATGATATGATGAAGTTTGAAATATTTTTCCATAAAAAGAATTATTCCTAGGAATAATGAATCTGTAGTGACTAATTCAGTGTTTGCAGCCACTTTACAGAACATAGCTTCACAAAGTAATGAGAATCATGTGTGTGTGTCAAGAAGCCTATTTTTCTTGGCACATGAAAGTCACTAAAATGGTTAGCTTTAGATATGTATGAAAGAAAAGAGACTGATTAAAACCTAAGTACTGTACAGTGAAAATAGTTAAATCCAGAGCAGGGAAGGCAAATATATTTTATTTAGCACACCAACTGTGAAGAACAAAGTATTCTGAATAAGGTACCTTTGGAGCTATATTTTTGCTCATAGGGAAAGAGGATTATAACTAATTAGTAGTATTGGTCAGAAACACGAGAAAGGATAATGACATTATTGTCATGTATTTGCCATCCCTGTATTATTGTACTTCATATAACTCCATAAAATGTATAATTACAAAATTACTTACAGCTTCAACAGAGTTACATTCTCGTCTTGTTTCTAAATAACGTAGTGCTCGTTTTTCTTCTTCTTTTAATTTAGCATCTGCCTGTCCAGAAACGAAATAGCAATCATTTTAAGAATATCAAGAGCACTGCTCAAATTATCAAATGTACTAAGTTCTAACTTACATATTTCATATAATTCTGTACACCATTTTGCTGTAAATATGAGGGTGCCTGTGTTCTATAAAATCTCTCTGTTGAATCCAAGTATGCCTTCTCAAAATTGTCCCTATAAATCTGAAGCTTGTCCTCAGGATTAGAACAAAGGTTAACTGAAAAACAAAATAGAATTTCACTTTAATTATTATCTCAATTAGTATTCTGAGTGTAATAAATGAATAAGAAACACTGAGGAACCATTATGTGCAAGATGGTAATGTTCACAAGAACATACAACAATACAAGACAAAAATCTCTATAAAAAAGTAACAGCATTAAGCAATAAAGTAACAAATAAATATTATAATGACTATTTTTAACAGGAAAGAGACTGACTTTTAAATTGATGAGCAAAAAACCATTTACAGGTTGGGTGCGCATGCCTGTAATGCCAACACTCTGGAGACTGAGGCAGGAGGACTGCTGTGAGTTCAAGGCCACCCTGGCTACATAATAAGTTCAAGGCCACCTGGAACTGCATACCAAGAGGCTATGCAGTCAAAAAAAAAGAAAGCCTTTCACAGACAGATGAGACTTAAGCTGAATCTTAAGGAATAAGCAAGGATTTGCATAGATGACTAGTGAGGTAAGTAAATACTCAGAAAGCATATGCTTAATGACCGTTGTCTGAGTGGATTATAAAGTTAACAGAAAATAAGGCAGAACAGTAAATAAGGAATGGTGCAGAGAGCTTCAAATTTCAAAGTAAGTAGCCTAAGTTTAGCATAGTATATAACTAAAGGTGCAAGTTGGGGGAAAAAACTAATAAAATTCTACCTAAAAATTAATCTGGTGAATAGTATGTGGGGTAAGTGATAGAAATAAGATTACTATAAAAAGTGCTTTAGGGTCGGGGATTTAGCTCAGTGGTTCCGGTGCCTGCCTCACAAGCACAAGGTCCCGAGTTCGATCTCCAGTACCAAAAAAAAAAAAAAAAAAGTGCTTTAGAAGGTAAGTGATAGGAATGATTACTATAAAAAGAATACTGTAGAATTTCAAGCTGTCTAAACTGGTAGCAGTTGAAATAAAAGAATAAATTTCAGGAACAATATGGTAATGGAAATTTAAAGACTTGATAAAAAGACATATGGCAATGGAGAAAATGCACTCAAAAATAATTCTAAAAGTTCAGCAATCCAACATATACTACTGAAAACGATTTTGTGCCAAGCATTTTGTTTAGTAAAGATGCAGTGTAGTTACTTAAAAGCCTTAATGCAAAGAGGCACAAGCACTACAAATTACTGAGAGGACTTAACTTAGTCTGAGAATTAAAAAAGGCTTCCATGAGCCAGGCATGGTGGTGCACGCCTATACTCCCAGCACTTGGAAGACTGAAGCAGGATTATTGGAGCCAACCTGGGCTACAATAGTGAGTTCAAAGCCAGCCTGTACTACAAAGTGAGAGACTGTCTCGAAAAACAATAAAAAACAAAAACCAAAAAACCCCAGAAAAGTCTCCATGAGGAAATAAAGGATGAGGATAAGTTAAAAGAGAAAAGGAAGAAGAGTATTCCATTTCAAAGGAAACAATGTATGTGACTGAAAGTACAAATAAGAATATCATTGTCAGCTGAGATGGTAGGAGAAAGAAGGTACACGGGGAAGTAACTTTCTGGAAACAAACACAAAACAAGGTACCTTTTATGAGCTATAGATTCAAATTTGTATTTCTTTAATTTAGTTCACTAAAAAGATTTACCAACCAAGATATTAGTGTTTTGGAGGAAATCTGACCACACAAATAAAAATTTGTCCTAGGTTTCATTAAAGTAGAATTAATACCATTTGTATACTCTAAAAAGAAAAGGCTGATCCCAAAAAGTAGATGTGATTTTATATGCTAATAAACATAATGACAGAATGATAATTGTCCTAAAATTTTCCATGAAAAGGAAGTTATGATTATAAAAGTTCAGGGGCTGGGGATTTAGCTCAGTGTCACCGTGCCTGCCTTGCAAGCACAAGGTCCTGAGCTCAATCCCCAGTACTGGGAAACAAAAAGTTCAGAACATACCATAGGATTCTCTTACTCCAATGACCAGCTGAGAATCAAAAGCTTCTCCTAATCTTTCAGCATGTACCAGCTTCATTGCACTATCTTGTAGTCTGTTTTTAATATTTGAAAAAATTGACTCATTCCATGTATCAAGCATGAGCTAGGAAAAGAAGAAAAAAATATTTTAAATTATTAACATATCAAGAACCACACACATACCCACACACAAAGCCATGAATGCATGTTTGGACATGGCATGTGAGCAAATTTTAGCACAGATAGCAAAAAACAAAATCAAACTCTTGGGCCTGCATTGCACAAATATTTCAGGAAGTAGTATATTTAGCATAATGGTAAAGAATAAATGTTTTAGAATCAGATATAATTGGGTTTGAATCTCAATTCTGTTACTTCTTTACCCGCTTGTGCTTGCTTCGGCAGCACATGTACTTCTTTACCCACTCTCCTATGTATAAAAAAATCAAATTTCCAGATGCTGTGTTAAAAATATGGTAGTAATGGGGCCAGGGATTTAGCTCAGTGGTTCTGCCACCTGCCCTGCAAGTGCAAGGACCCAAGTTCGATCCCTGGAACCAAAAAAAAAAAACAAATATGGTAATACTTAGAAAATGTTGCTTCTTCCATAGTTTCAAGATGGATTTCATAAATATTGGTATGTTTGGAATATTCATATGCATATGCTTATACTGACATTTAAAATGCAGAAAATCTATTTGATACTGGCCTTTTTAAAAGCGTATGTAAATCTCTTATGCTCATCAAAAATGGTAGAAATAAGATAGACACATTGCTAAATCCAAGTAGTGCTCCAAGTAACTTTGTTGAATATAGGTGTTACATTAACAACAGTGGCAGTAGCAAAACTAACAGGGTTAACACTTTTATAACATTCACCGTGTATCTAGGACTCCTCTACGTATTTTTCACATAAAACTCATTTAATCTTCAAAAATGACATAGGATTGCCACATGTTCAAGGCCAGCCTGGAATACATAGTGAGACTGTCTCAGAGGAAAGGAGGAAGGGGAGGAAAAGCGGAGGAAGAGGAGGAGGAGGACAAGGAAGAAGAAAAAGAGAAGAAGAAGAACAAAGGGCAAGTGAGGAGGAAGAAGGGGAGGAAGAAGCTGGCAACTATGAGGCAAGGGGAAAAAAAGATGGAGAAGGCTGGGCATGGTTGGGCAGGAGGATCACCGTGAGTTCAAGGTCAGCTTGACCTACATAGCAAGACCATGTCCCAAAAAACGAACAAAGAAACCAAACAAATAAAAAAAAGAAATAAAGTTGGAGACTTGAAACTAAACATAAATAAAAGAAAAACATTATAGCTGAAAAGGAACTTATATGTGAAGCAGAAAAATCCACTTAAAAGTCTAAATTATTTTGAAATGCCTTCAAACAACCTTCTTTCTGAAAAATATTAGATCAAGAATGGGGAAAACCAACTTACCTTTCGGACAATACTATCTTCCACATTTGTTTTTTTATTGCTGCCCTGTTTACCCATTAAAGTAATCTCTAGTTGACAAAAGGGTTTCGGTAAAATATCACACTGTGTAAAGAATTTCCGCCATTCAACAATATATGCTTTTAGCAAAGCTGTGTCATCTTGATGGCTCAATACTCGCTGAAAAAAAAATTTTTACACCAACTTGAAATAAATGTGCTTTGAAAAATAAGAACAAAACATATTCATGCCATAATTTTAAAATATTTTATTATACAAATTGTATTATGTCCAAGAGCAATTAAAATATGTTCCCAACTACCTTGTATGTGAATGTTCAGAGCAGCATTTTAAAAAATAGACAAAAAGAAACAATCCAAATATCCATCAGCTGGTGAATGGATAAACAATATGTGGTACAGCCACACTACGAAATATTTTTCAAGTCTAGAAGGAACAAAATACTGATAAAATGCTACAACATATATGTCTTAAAAACAGTAATTCAGATGACAGAAATCTGTCACAAAAGGCCACATATTATATGATCCTATTTCGTAAGAAATGTCAAAAACAGAAATCTACCAGGTGTAGTGGCAAATGCCTAGAGGACTGCTGCAAGTTTGAGGCCAGCCTGGGTTACATAGCAAAAAAGAATAGAGAAATTCAAAGAGGCCTAAAATAGATTCACGATTTAAGAGTTGCCAGAAGTTAGGAGGAAAGGTAACGGGGATTGCTAATAGGTACTGTATAGGGTGGTTTTTTTTTAGCATGATAGAAATATCCTAGAATTAGTGGGTGATGGTTATACAACTATGAGTATAATAAACTTACAAATCATATTACAAAAATTTTGTTTTTTAATGGTGCTGCAGATTGAACCCATAGCGTCACACATACTAAGCAATGTATCTCAATATTTTAAAGATGTAATCTATTTCTCCACTGCTAATATTTTAGGCTGCCTGTGTGATTTGCTCTGTCCAATAGAATGTCACAGATGTAAAGTAAGATTTCCAAGCCTAGAGGTCTTGTAGATTCAATTAGAGACTGGGTGCTTGTGAATGAGAAACCATGTGGTAGAAGAAAAAAACAGTACCAAACATCGGATATGTTATTAGGCTCTCTTGGACCACCCAGTCCATGCAGAGCCACAGCGAACTACAGCTGCATTAATAAGCTCAGGTGAAATCAGCTGAGCCCAGCCTAAATTGCTAAATCACAGAATTATGAATAAAATAGTCATGTTGGGTTGAGGAAGCACCTCAGTGGTAGAGTGCTTGCCTAGCATGTGCAAGATCCTGAGTTCAATCCCCAGAATGCAAGAAATAAATAAGTTAAAGTAAAAAATAAATCCTATTTCCTAAATTTCCCAAACACTATGCTTTTTGTGGGTTTTTTTGAGATGAGGAGTTTCATTATACTGTCCAGCATAGTCTCAAACTCCTGGGATCAGGTGATTCTCCCACCTTAGCCTCCTAAGTGCTGGCACCATGAATGTTTATTTTGACTTCCCTTCTCTTACTTACACATTTCATTGCACTGTACTGCACTGCATTGTTGGGATAGGACACACAGCCTCATGCATGCTAAGCACATGTTCTACCACTGAGGTAAACCCCCACTCTCTTTTTCATCATTTTAAATAATGCTATAATGAACACTTTTGTGTGTACTGCCTTTCCCATTTGGGAGATCTGGTTCTTCCTATAAAGATAAGTTTAACAAAGGTCTACTATCGAGAATATATAAAGAATTGAAAAAACTCAAGACTCCCCAAATTCAAAGACCCAATTCAAAACTGGGCATCTGAAATGAACAGACATTTCTCAGACAAAGAAGTAAAAGCAGCAAATAAATATATGAAAAAATGTTCAACATCACTAGTCATTCAAGAGATGCAGATGAAAACAACACTGAGATTCCACCTCACCGCAGAAAGAATGGCTGCTATTAAGAAATCATCCAGGGCCGGGGATTTAGCTCAGTGGTTCTGGTGCCTGCCTCACAAGCACAAGGACCCAAGTTTGATCCCTGGTACCAAAAAAAAAAAAAAAAAGAAATTATCCAATAACAAATGCTGGTGGGGGTGTGGGGAGAAAGAAACCCTTCTCCATTACTGGTGGGAGTGCAGACTGGTGCAACCACTGTGGAAATCAGTATGGAGATACCTCAAAGAACTAGAACTAGAGGTCCCATTTGACCCGGCTAGTCCCCTGCTGGGTATCTTCCCAAAAGAATTAAAAGAATCATACCACAGTGATATATGTGCACCCATGTTTATAGCGGCACAGTTTGTAATAGCTAAAGCTTGGAAATAGCCCAAGTGCACATCAACTGGAAACTGGATAAAGAAAATGTGTTTTTTTAATAAAATAGAGTACTACTCAGCCATAAAGAACAAAAAACTAGAGTCATTCATAGCTAAATGGATGCATATTGAGGCCATACTCTTAAGTGAAATAAATAGGACACACGTGTAAATACCGAACAGTTTCTCTAGTGTGAGAAACTGAAAGTGTAAATAAGGATTAAAATGATTAAAACGAACAATTGATAATTTGAAATAGGAAAAGGTTCAAAGGTGTAGGGTGGTGGGAGGGGAAGGGGAAAGGGAAGAAGGGAAAGGAAAAATTATGAGAAAAGAAAAAAAATGGAAACAAAATCTATTGTAAATAGAGGAGGGCGGAGGGGGTGAAGGGTGCACAGGTAATGGGGAAAAAAATAAGAACCAAGATTCATCACGTACAGGTACAAGCACCCAGTGATAAATGTAAATGTATTGTATACCTAAAATGTACCAATAAAAGTAAAAAGGAAAAAAAAAAGATAATTTTAACTGAATACTGACTAGTAATAGTCCTAAAAGAAGTTCAAATGAATACTGCTTAATAATATGACACAAAAAAATAATAATAATATGATTCACAAAGATAGATTTTCAAGCTGAGCATGGCAGCACATGCCTATAATCTCAGCACTTGGAAGGCTGAGGCTGGAAGATCACCACAAGTTCGGCCAGCCTGGGCTATATAGTGAGTTCAAGGGCAGCCTGAACTACATAGCAAGACCCTGTCTCAAAAATAAAGCTAGATTTTCTTAAGAGCTTAAAAATCCTTTAAAACTATACACCCATGCCTAGCACCATTATTCCTACAGTTTAACTGCTCTGAATCAGTAGCACTTAAACACATCCACAGTTCTTGCTGAGGTCTACATTGCAGACTTTACTGGGTCATGTTTCAGTCAAACTCTTATGTATTTCATTTGCTAGTGTTGACTGTATTTTTTAGCATCTGTTAATATCTAAGATGATTCTTTATCAGCTTATTTTCATATACAGAATAAAACTATCAATTTGAAATAAACATAATTTACCTTTACCAAAAGTCATATACAGGTAAGCTGACATTTTCCAATGCAAGTGGAAAATGTATTTCTAAATTAATTCTAGAACAATAGTTGTAATTGTGATATTGAAAAAATTTTGTTTGAAAATAAAATTCATTTTCATTAAAATGTAATTCTCTTAAAGCAATAATTTTAAAAAATTTACTCATTAAAATATTATCAATAAAATGTTATAGTACTTAATATGGTATCATTTTTACTTCATCAGGGCAGTGGCTACTAGTAAAATTAAATATATAACAATCATATATTTTATTTCAGTATCTTCCTTTGGTTCTATATAGGAAAAACACATTTTAAATTTTGAATCACTAAGCAGCTATTTAAGTTTTTTTTGGGGGGGGGGGACTGGTACTTGGAATTGAACCCATGGTGGGTAAGCTACATCCCAGTTCTTTCTTAAAACATTTTATTTTGAAACATAGTCTCATTAAGTTGCCCAGCCTGGCCTTGAATGTGTGAACCTCCTGCCTCAGCCTCATAAGTAGCTGGGATTACAGGTATGCACCACTACACGTGGCTAGTATTTAACATGCTGCACACACAACTTTCACTAATGTTGTACATTTCACTGACATAAAAACTCACTAAAGAATAAGAAATCCTAGCCCTCTAGTTTTCACATTTCATTTTATAGGAAGGAAAATTATTGCCCTTCTCAATCATTCATGAGCAATGTCATAGTTGTTCTTGGCATTCATTGTGCCCAAAAGACAAAGGTAGAAGAACAAAACAAAATAATATTTGCCTAATTGATCAAATGCCTAAATGAGCTGTGTATTTAATAAAAGTAAAAACTTATACATAACATCAATACAAGACTGCTGATTTCAGCTCAGCAACAGCAATACAAAGGAAAGTCCCAGGATTTTACAAGTAGAGAAGTAACTGGCATTGAAAAAATAACTGCCCACTTCAAGAGATATTTTTCACAGGAGAGAAAGAGATACATATGGACTGACCTCAGACAAAAAGATTATGGTAGTGGGGACTTCTAAAAATGTATAAAAGACTGAACTCTATAGCATTTTTTATTGAGGAAAATAATGTACTATCTTGACAGAGTAGCACTGTGGGGGAAAACTCAACAACTGACAGCTTATTTTATTTAAAAATTTAACAAAAGTGTCCAAACTAAAAGTGATATTTAAACTTACTTTACAGGGCCGGGGATTTAGCTCAGTGCTTTCACCACCTGCTGCACAAGTGCAAGGACCCGAGTTCAATCCCCACTACCCCCCAAAAAAAAGGTACTTTACAAAGTTCTACCTTCAAAATCATAAAATGTATTTTCTGAAGAGATCAAAAACCAGTCTAGGGCTAGGGGTATAGCTTAGTGGTGGAGAACATGTTTAGCATGTGCAAGGGCCTGCATTCAGTTCACAACATCAAAAAAATAGTAATAGTAATAATCCAAAATAGAGATAGAGAACTTACTGCCTGTGCTTGCTTAATAAATTCAAGGATATCTTCTTTTAAAGCCTGATGAATTTTTGCCGGACCTTTATCATCCCAGAGACAGACTGCATGAACATCCCTGTAAAAATAAAGTGGGTAAACAAGTAATAATGGAATAAAAGCGGAGACAAAATTCATCTTAAGTTCTGTATTAGTAGTTTCCATGGATAATGGTAGACCAAACTAATGATGCCTGAATCCATTCACAAGATCCACATGTCCTTTATAAATTCTTACACATATATTTGTTTCAATTTTTATTTTCTTTTGTAGTTGTTTTCCTCAATCTCTGCTACTCTATAAAACTTCATTATAAAAAGGATGTCTCCATCTCCCAACTGCACTGCCCTAAATTAACTGCTCTTAATATTTTCTTGTGGAAAAACAAATACAAATCATTTTAATTCCTTAACACATAGATATAAACAGTCTGCTTTTAAAAGAAAATTATAAATCCCATTAGGGCAAATCCCTTAGCTTCCTGTATGTTACTCAATGACAATCATCTCCTTTATTTTAACAAAACACAAAAACAAAAGTTCTCATAAACTGATACATAAAAACTCTGAACTTATAAAGCTGACGTTTTACCAAAAGGTAAACTACTTGGCTATTAACATGCTGTAATGTGGTGACATTTTATTTTGTTTCTTTGATCTTTTTTTATTTTTATTTTATTATTATTTTTTTTTTGGTACCAGGGATCGAACTCTGGTCCTTGCGCTTACACAGCAGGCAGCGAAACCACTGAGCTAAATCCCCGGCCCTCTTTGATCTTTTTTTAAATGGCAGAAGCACTGCCATGTATGGAACAAGTCCCTGAGGAGTATTTTTTTTTTTGGTACCAGGGATCGAACTCGGGTCCTTGTCTGAGGAGTATTTTTTGAATGACTTAATTCTCAATATAAGACCTTATCCTTCTAAGGTTCCCTGAGCGACAACTTGGTAATTAAGAAATTAACTTTCTATATATGTACTAGTATTAAATATATTTTTAGGGGCTGGGGATTTAGCTCAGTGGCACCACGCCTGCCTTGCAAGCACAAGGTCCCGAGTGCAAGCCCCAGTACCAAAAAAAAAATTTTTTTTATAATGTATCTGTCATCTAAATGTCTCTTTAATTTTGAAATGTCCATATATATCGCCAATACCTGAGTCAAAATCACCATCATCTCTTACTTGGTTTGCCATGACAAAATTAAGTCAACATGCACTAACTGCTTACTGTGTGTCAGGCATGGCACACTGACGTGTGTGATAGTTTAGGTCTTCCAAAAAGCAGATGGGATGAGAAATGTAACCGATTTATTGAGGGAGTAATTGTGAGAGAAGATGGAAGATAAGCTACAGAAACCTGGGTTAGTTATAAGAACATACGAAGTAGGTCTGATTCCTGCAGAAGACAGAAAGAAGGCTGAATATCAAGAGTCATACATTGTAGGGCAATTCTAGTAAATTCTGAATTGTAGTAAAGCTGTCGGAGAGTTTTGGAGCCCAAGTCCCCATCACAGGAATCATGTGCCTCTCCAAAACACGGCTACCTTAGTTTTCCTGGCTTACTCAAAATCACTGGTAGGTACATATCAAAAATCACCTGAATCTCCTAAGGCAATGGTGTGTCAACAAGAATGGGGGTTAGACAGCTCCCTAAAAATCTTACCTAAGATTCAAACAATGTGCATGTGTGCATGCATGTATGTGTGCCTGTTACAGTGGAGCTGGAACTGAACCCAGGGTCTCAAGCATGCTAAGCGAGTGCTCTATTACTAAGCAACACCCTCAATCCTTTTTATTCTATTTTGAGAAAGGGTCTCACTATATGGCCCAGGATGACCTTGAACCTTCGATCATTCTCCTGCCTCAGGCTCCTGAATATCTGGGATTATAGGCATACACCAACATGCTTGGCAGAGTAAAACACTCCATAACACCACATATGGGGAATGTCTGCTAACTGGAGTTTACAAGGGTCAAGGTTAAAGTAAATAAACATTGCATATTAGTCAGAGCAATTTCTCTTTCTCCTTCTCTCTCCTTTTGTTTACTGTGGTACTGAGGATTAAACCCTGGAGGGCCTCACACATGCTGGGTAAGCATCCTACCACTGAGATACATAGCCAGGTCCCCCCTTAGCTGTTTTTTTTTTTTTTTTAAGATAAGGTTTTGCTGTGTAGTCCAAGCTGGCTACACACCATCCTCCTGCCTCACCTCTCAAGTGCAAATCACAAGCATATGCCATCCTGTCCTCTTCCCCACTCATTTCTTAAATTTTGAGACATGTGAATAATGTGTTGAATGTGGCAGTTGTTTTTTTGCTGTTATTTAGTCTTTGTTGATATATCATGTAGAATAATGTTCACTGAGTAGTACTAATTGGGAAAAGTAGCACACAGTCACGGTGTTCAATGCTTCAAGTATACTTTTTTTCTTTTGGTACCAGGGATCGAACTCAGAACCTTGTGTTTGCAAGGCAGGCAGCGGCACCACTGAGCTAAATCTCAAGTACACTTTTAGGCAGAAATATGAATAACCTTCTACCTGCTATAGTTGGTGGTGTCAATATATTGTTTTAAAGACTCCTTGATCTCCTTGGAATATTTAAAGCACCCTGGTACTTTGGAGTACATCAAATATGTATTCCTTCTAGGTAAAAAGATTCCTGTTTATCTTATCATGGCATTGCACAGGTTGCAAGACCTACAATAATTAAAATCTTTCTAAATTTTATTTTCTTAATTTGAGACAGTCTCCTGAGTTACCCAGGCTGGCCTTGAACTTGTGATCCATTTGCCTCTGCCTCCCAAGTAGGTAGGATTACCACCACACCTGACCTGTTTTGACCATATTAATTGTTAAAATTTAGGCTGCCTTATATTTTTCTTAATATGAGGTACTAAAATAACGTGCTGATATCAACTACATTGATTATCTGAGATTTCTCCCCCTTTTCCCATAATCCGTATCACTGTTTCTCAGTTGGCATGCTAATAATATTTTGGGTGGTATAAGAGATTGTACTGGCTGGGTGTGATGGAGCCTGCTTGTGATCCTAGCTAGGCAGGAGGGAGGCTGCAGCAGGAAGACTGCATGTTTGATGCCAATTTGGGCAACTTAGCAAGACCTTGTCTCAAAATGGATGGTATTTACTAGTACTTTTACCTATTTTGCCTCTGGAAAAAAGGAGATGTGAAACAAAGGAAATCTTCAAATAGAAATACATTTATGAGTTTTATTTATTTATTTATTTATTTTTGGTAGAGGAAAATTTGTTTTTCAGTATTGGAGTTTTAAAAAGCACTTTTTTGTTGCTACTGAACTCTTGTGAAATCAGATTTTCCAATGTGATGTGCATATTTTTTTAGTGGATCAATGTGGACCCTAAGACTGGACAAAATAAGGACTTAAGACACTCTTGCTTGTCCTTGAACTGAGAACATGACTGTGAGACCTGTACCATCTTAGCTTTCCTTCTGTCGAAGAAAAGCTGAAGGCTTTTCTGGAATCCTGAATTCACAAATTTTAATTGCCTGGTCTGGCACTAAGCTGAAATCTGATTCTGATGATGGGCTATTACAACCTTAACACAAGGTGTGATCAACAGAAAGCAGACACATGCTTCAATAAATAGGACTCTGCTCTGAAGACTGTTGAAGATTTAAAAGACCCTTCTATGGATCCATAAACTATTAAACATATCATGGATTCTGGCTGAACTGTCTCAACAGTTACTGATGCCCTCTGAAAAGGGCTTATTTTTTGATGAGACCATCCAAAATCAAAGTGCTAATTGGCTCTACACGTCTGATACAAAGAATAGCACTGCATTCCTAACTTGTGGTTCCTGCCAAAAATTCCAAGTCAAGAGAGGGCACATTATAAAATCTCTTCATTACTCCTTATAAACTGGACTCCTGACCCATTCCCAAGATGTCTCATGGCTACTGATTTGTGTTCAGCTTTCTAGATTAGTTGCAGTTTGCAACAACGGATTAATAATAATAACCACTCCATTTCTCTTACCCTCCTCTAAACCATTCTGGTAACCATTCTGGTAAACCCATCTTAGTAAGGCAATGTGGTTGTTAAATATAGCAGTCCCCAAAAAGGAACTGTTTTTTTTTTTCTAGCCTATGCAGTAGAAAAATAATCAGGAAAAACAGAGATGAGAAGTAACATAAACTCATTTTGAAAAATTTCATCCTGATCAATTTCTAAACCTGTCTTTCTAGTTAAGTATGAAAAATGTTTGCTGTTAAAAAATGCCTCTTACAGGTCTGGATAATGGGGAGGGGGATGAAAAGTTTTATTAATGAACATGAAACACTGATTCTTTAAGAGAAAAGAAACAAAACCCAGCACCTAGGGAGGCAAAGAGGCAAAAGGACATTAATGATTTTTGTTTTTCAGAACTATTTCTGAATGCTTGCCGCTCTCCTAAAAGAAAATGCCCAGTGTTGTCTTTCCACACTCCTGTAGGTCTTTTTAATTCAAAACTACTGCCAAGCATACACCTGCACCTATCAGACTGTGAAACAACAGGGAACAGCCTAGCCTCTGTACTAGCCACATAGAGCACCTCCAAATGTTCATCCTAGTGAGGAATGTGCATTGGTATGATGGATAAACCAAACTGCTCAGAACTAAGTACCCTCAGTTAAGTGCAAGGCCTGAACTGAATTTTGGACTGGACTGAGAACCCTAGAGTGAAAAGTTCCACAGTGGGAATCCAACTGAGGGCCTTATTAACTTGTACTAAGTGACTAATACATGTCTTGTTTGGGGTACCCTAACAATTTAAACTGTTTTAAATTGGGATATCATATGTGACCTCTAAGATTGCATTCATTTGTGTATATGCCCTGACCATCATGAATGTTTGTTTCAACTTAACTGGCTCTTTGCCTGAATTGATGCCTCTGAACATTTTTTTTTTAAATCCATACAGAACCATAAGGAGAAAATGTTTGGTTTTCTAAGGTAAACTTCATGTTAAGGGAACTTGGTTTTTTTTTTTTTTTTTTTTTTTGGTTCCAAGGATCAAACACAGGACCTTTCACTTGCCAGGCAGGTGTGGTGTCACTGAGCTACATCCTGGACCCTAATGGAACTTGTTTTAATTGGCTAAATCCAAGACCCTTAAAAGGTATAACTGAGATTATTATTACAGGTTGGCCTTGCTCTACGGTGTGGGAGCTCACTAACAACAATTTTGCTGTAAAGCCATTTTGGCCAAAATGCCAAGGCCTGAGAGTATCTGTATTCCTTAGAAAAGCCTGCTTGTAAGGTCAGCCTTTGGCTGGCACTGTAGAACCTAAATGGTCAACAGTTTCCTATACTTTCATAAAACTTTCCTGAAACAATAACAGTGGCTCATGTACCTCAACTGTTTATATACACAATATAGTTCACACTGAACATGTGCTGAGAGTCTACAATTCTGATACATGCAAGGCACAGACTATGTGACCAGCTGCCATAAAAAGCCTGGACACCGAGTCTGTCAACTTTCCCTGGAAGACAACGTATCACAGCTTGCCCATCTTCTTGTTGGGGAAAGTGTGTCCTGTGTGACCATACTGGAAGCCAACTCCTTGCTTGACCCCCGCCACCCCTGCTACCGCCATGTTGTCCTATGTGCTATTTCCCTTTGCTGATTTTGGTGTTTGTTTTTGAGTCAGTGTCTTGCTATGTATTTCAGGGTGGCATTAAACTTACTATGTAGCCCAAGCTGGCCTCAAACTCAAGGCAATCCTCCTGCCTCAGCCTCTTGAGTATTGGGATTACAGGCATTCACCATCATCCCCAGTCCCTTTGCTGATTTTGATTTGTATCCTTTCACTGCAATAAATCATAACTGTGAATATATACATAGTCCTGTGAGCCCACCTAGGAAACCTGAACATAGGAGAGGTCTTAGCAACCCTCAAAACAACTATTAATTTTAAAGAAGTAAACAGACCATCTAGAACTGTACACTCCATAAAGGTATAAAAAGACATTATCAAAATTTAGTTATGGGCTGGGGATTTGGCTCAGTGGTTCCTCCGCCTGCCTCGAAAGAGCAAGGTCCCGAGTTTGATTCCTGGTAACAAAAACAAACAAACAAACAAACAAAATTTAGTTATGTTAGCAAGCAGAATTAATGGGTTACTTACGAAAACAGATCAAACCACTGTTGTTTTGTAACAGATTCTTGGCGTAAAAGCTTCAAAACAATTGGGCGCATAAAATCCCACTTGTCTTCAAACTGAAGAGAGCCTTTATTCTTAAAAAGAGAGAGAGAGTAGTTTAATTTAAATGCAGTTAAATCAAAAGTGCTCTATAATTTTTTTAAGAGAATGCAGGGACTTATGCATGTATGTATAGAAATACATACACACTGGGGACTGAACCCAAGGCTTTCTCACTAAGCTATATCCCCAGCCTTTTTTATTTTGAGATAGGGTCTCACTAAATCATTAAACTCCCCAGGCTGGGATTGAACCTGTGCTCCTCAGTCGCCCAGGGTGCTAGGATTATAGGTGTGCACCACCATGCCTGGCTGCTGGATTCAAATTTAAAAAGAAAGAATTTTCCATTATGAAAAGGTTTAACTTTATATCAAGGAATCATAAGAAAACAACTATAAAAGAGAAAAATTGGAGGTAGAGCTATAGCTCAGTGGTAGAGCATCTGCCCATGTATGAAACCTAGGTTTGATCCTCAGCACTGGGGATGGGGAGGTGGGGTTGGCGCTTCAACAGGGCATGGTGGCTCATGCCTTTTGTCCCAGCACTTGGAAGGCAGGAGGATCACCAGGTTCAAGGCCAGTCTGGACTACATATTTAGACCCTGTGTCAAAATAAAGTTTGGTGAAGAATTTGGCTTTGGCCAAAGAGAATGTCTGGTCTTTCCTTCTGGCTCTTGGTAAATAATATCTGGGCACTTGAAATATTATGTCTCTTAAGTGTTTCTCTGTTTGCCTTGAGACCTTGGATCATACTGGATATACTAACAATGTGATTTAGGGAGTGAACTGGCCAGGCCTATGTGGTCTTAGAATGAGAAAGCTGAGCACTGGTATCAGTCAACCTGGAGACTGAAATTACCCATGTGATCAATCAGTCATGTTTAGTGAAGAAGTTCCATAATGACGCTGAACAATGAAAGGTGGATGGGCCTGTTTGGTATTACTTGTACATACTGTCACACATTACTCCAGAAGATAACCATGTGCTGACTACACATGGAGAGGACAACTGTGTTTGAAACTCCCCTAGACTTTGCTCAATGCTTCTCTTCCTTTGGCTGATATTAGTCTGAATCCCTTCCCTATAACAAATAGCAACCATGATTACAGCTTTCAGTAAATTCACTGAGCCTTCCTAATAGGTATCGTAAGTGAGCAGGTGGTAATTATGGGGACAGTGGATCCTCTAATTTTGTAGTTGTCCTAATCTCATAAAAAGTACAGTTGTCTCTTGGTACCCACAAGGGGAATGGACACATGATCCTCCATGGATATACAAATCTGCTGATACTTAAGTCCTTTATATAAAATGAGTGTTCGCTTATTTCCTACATATACTTTAAATCATCTCTAGATGACTTATCATACCTAATATAACATAAATGCTATGTAAATAGTTGTTATACTGTGTTGTTTGGAAATGACAAGTCTGTACACATTTAAAAATCTGAACATTTTAAAATAATTTCAATCTACAGTTGGTTGAATCTGCTTATGTGAACCATAGATGCAGGATACCTGTGTGGCAGAAATCTATGTAAACTATGAAAACTGAGGGGAAAAAATACAGGAAAGATAACTATCTCATTTCATAATGCTAACAAAACCTTGCCACCAAATTAGAGAACAGCAAAATAAATGGAAATAATAGGACAATTTACCACAGAACACAGATGCAAAGAGCTAAGCAATTAGTGAATCAAACAAGTGGCATATCAAAACAGTGTTTCCTCGCTGGGTGTGGTGGTGCACATCTGTAATCCCAGCACTTGGGAGGCTGAGGCAGGAGGACCATTGCATGTTTGAGGCCAGCCTGAGCTACAAAGCAAGTTCAAGGTCAGCCTAAACTATACAGTGAGATCTTGTCTCAAAAAAAAAAAAAAAAACCCCAGTGTTTCCTCATAGCTTATCCCAAGAATGTGAAAGTGGCTCAACATTAGAAGAAAAAAAAAAAACACCAATTATATTTCCAAAAAGAAAAGGAAGAAGACCTCAAATATGTTATTAAATATTCCTTTTCAACTTAAATATGGCTATGTGACTTGCTTGTGGGCCAATAAAGTTCAACATAAGTCATTAATCATCTAATAAACCAGAATTTGTTTGGTTCTAAGGATTGAACCAGGGCCCGTGCACATGCTAGGCAAGCTCTCTACCACTGAGATACAGCCCCCATCACAGATCAGCCTGTCCATGTGCTGACTGTATGGAATCTGGAAAGTCCCTGAAATTATAAACTGAAACACTTTCTCAAGGAATGGCACGACAATCTATGATATGACATAACAACCTACATCAGAATCATCTGGGTTAGCAACTGATTACATAAATAGATTTCCAAAACTTATCACAGATCTCTTCTTAGAGGATATTTTTCTTGCCATAGTCAAGAATTTTATAAGTTCTTTCCATAATTCTTTTATGTTTATTTGTGCACTCTTTATTAAGAGGGAAAAGTAAATAAAGACATGAGAATTATACAAAAATAATAGTGGGAAAATAATATGAAGCCAGGCATAAACTTAGTACACAAAGCATAAATCACAGGATTTTGAATAATCTGGGTGAAGTTCTCATTAGCTGATGCTCTGAGGAGAACAAAAGCTACCTACGTGATCTACTAGTTGCTGAGGGGAAGAGGCACAACTAATTCTGCTACTGAATTTTGAGTGGATGTCTTCCATGGGTCCTCATATTAAGAACACGATGCGACAGATGCAGGCACTTAGAGCAAGCAGTGTAATAACACTTAGGATGAACTATGAGGATGCAAGACACATCACTTGCTTTTTTTTTTTTTGGTACCGGGGATCGAACTCGGGTCCTTGCGCTTGCGAGGCAGGCCACGGAACCACTGAGCTTGCCTTGCAAGCGCAAGGTCCCGAGTTCGATCCCCGGTACAAAAAAAAAAAAAAATTCCCTTCCTGCCTAAACAACTAGAAAGCCAAGAAGGCAAAGCAGGACAGTGCTTCCTGAGAGAAGAAAAACAAAAGACATGAACCCTATAAACGTCCAAACATACTGCTTGGAAAGAATGTCCAGAAGGGGGAAACCCAGAGCCTGATGGTTTCGTAAGTTTAAAAGACAGAGTTTGGAAAGGTCAAGGCAACCAGAATTTGCAGTGTGGAATACCAGGGGAAGAAAAGAAAAAGCTGCCATGCCAGTGATTCCAGCACTTGGGAGGCTGAGGCAGGAGGACTGCCATGAGCTCAAGGCCAGGCTGGGCTACACAGTAAGGGGCTCAAAAAACAAAACAAAACAAAACAAAACAAAAAAACAAAACAAAACAAAACAAAAAAACAGAAAAGAAAAAAAAGGACAGGAAAGGAAAAGAAAAGAAAAAAACCAAAAGCTGCATAAAAAGGGAGCTCTGGATATCTGCAGAAGGAACTTCTTAAGCCTTTGGCTGAGTACTGTCCTGTACATATACATGAGAAAACTATCTGAGACTGGGGAAAAATCATTTTAAAAGGAGACACAATAATTACCAGTGTGGCCGGGGGGTATAGCCCAGTGGTACAGCACCTGTCTGGCCAGTGCGAGGCCCTGAGTTTGATTCCCAATACTACTACTACTAATAATAATAATCACCAGTGTGCACATACAACTATAATTAGCTTGTGTTCCCAACAGCCAGAATGAAAACATCCCTAAAATGCCAGAAATTGGGTAAAGTCCTCAGTAGTGCTGAAGCTATAGCGGGACTATGTAGTTAGGATGCTAACTGTTCATCAAAGGTCCCTGTGTTAAAGGCCTGCTCCTCAGGGTGGCAATATTGGGAGGCATTGTGGACCTTAAGGAGGTAGGGCCTGTGACAGATCCTTCGTCACTGGGCGGATACCCTTGAAAGGGACTGTGGGACCCCACACGCTTCAGCTGCCACCTCTCTCTTGCTTCCTGGCTCTGGAAGTAAGTGGTTTTACCACATCCTGCGCTCTGATCATCATGCACTGCCCTCGCCAGAGGCCCAAAGCAGTGGTCACCTGATCATGGACTCCAACGTCCAAAGATGCAAGTCAAACATCAATCCTTTTTTTTTTTTTTTTGGTACCAGAGATCAAACTCAGGACCTCATGCTTGCCAGGCAGGTGCTGTACAACTGAGCTACATCCCCAGCCCCAAAATCAATCCTTTCTCAGTTAATCATTTCAGGTATTCTGTTACAATGATAAAAAGCTGACTAAAACAGAAGCCCAAAGTAGCCAACCCTTAAATATTATTCTGAACAAAACTTTAAAAATCACACTGACTCCAAGTTACTAGAACTGTATTTTACCAAATCTAAAAATATTTCAAGGAAATTTTAAAAACCTATCCCTAAACAAAAAGAGTCCAGGAGTGGCACTGTGGGCCTATAATCCCAGCAGTTGGGAAGCTGAGACACGAGGATTGCTGCTATTTTGAGCTCAGCCTGGACTACACTGAGTTCGAGGTCAATCTGGACTACATAGTGAGACCCTGTTTCAAAACAAAACAAAATAAATAACAGAAAGTAAGGAGGTAGATCTTTTTCAAAGGGGAAGGAAATCAAGAGATGGAGGGAGGTGGGAGAAGAGGGAAAAAGCATGAAAAAAGAATAAATTAAGATGTTATATATATGTACCAACTCCACACAAGTAATATAAACATTATGTATTGCACACGTTCCAAAAAAAGAATGAATTAAGGGCTGGGGATTTAGCTCAGTGGTTCTGCCGCCTGGTTCAAAAGCGCAAGGACCTGAGTTCGATCCCCAGTACCAAAAAGAAGAACTAAAATGTATTATGTACATGTACCAATTCCTCACAAGGAATGTAAGCATTATGTATACTACCAATAAGCACTAATAAAAAGTGAAAAAATATTTTTTAAAAAATTTTAAACCCACCAGGCATGTTGGCGCACCCTGTAATTCCAGCACTCGGGAAGCTGAGGCAGGAGGACTGCCACAAGTCCTAGGCCAGCCTGAACTACACAGTGAGACCCTGTCTCAAAAAACAAAAACAAAAATTTTAAAAACTCATCCCTCAAATCATAAAACTTGAAATGGTATCTAC